CCCTTTAAGATGAGAAGCCACATCAACCTCACTAAGCAACTTGACATTACACACGATGCACCATACTTGATAATTATTATTCACCCCATAACCAGCAGAATTCTTTGCTTCTTTCTGTTTGTATTGCTCACTAGTCCGGTTCACTTGCACCTTGTCCTCTTGATTCTTACTTTTATTCTGGTTATTGGGCTTTTTCAGCTGCTCCTGATTGGCTGTCGAAGATGAGCAGCCCTTGTTTTTGTTTGCTTGCTTGCTTGCCTGCAGCTCTGCACATGTAGCCCTGTGTTTTCTCCCATAAATATGAGACATCAAGTTTGCCTCACACGTGGTTGTCACCTGACATATGGCACAGGTCCACTCCTTCTGAACGTTCTCCACATCTTTGTTCTCCCCGCCACCAGATGTTGCAGCAGGTACCTCCATGACTTTGTTCTCTCTTACGGCTGCTGTCACTGTCTTTCCTTTAATTTCCCTAGCTGCAACCGTTTTCTTCTCAGTTTGAGCAAGATTTGGCTCTTCTACACAATTAACCTGCAACAAGTAGTTAGCAGAAGTTGATTACCATTTATGCTTGCTGGTCTTGCTTTACTTATAGTTATGACATTGTTGCCAAATCTCAAATGGGGTATGAATATCAGGGCTGGGTATGTGTCCAAATGTCTAACCTCCTAATCTTTAGTCTTAGATTTTTGAGATGTGTATCCAAAAGATGACTATGAGTACACTGATGTGTCCTAAACTTTTAAATACATTGTATATAGTATAATATCCTGACGTAAGATGATATTATTTGAAAATGTTAATTTAACTTAAATGGGATTTGGGGTAGGGGAAGAAGGATTTCTATCCTCCTACAAATGTGAGACTATAAAATTTTCTTTAGCGTCAAATGTAAGCTGCTTTTTCCTCAGACATTGGTAAAGGAGTAATAATATACAAACTGAAAATTCATATAGAATTTTCTTACAGAATGATGTGGTTCAATGTGGACCTTGAACTTTAAAACAAAATACCCATAAAAAAAATTTATTTACAAAAATGGCAATACCACATCATTCTTGTGATTTTTTTGCATAAATTTTCTGTATGAATAGAGTTTTCCTTGTTAAAAATTAGATAATTAAAGTCATAACCAATTTGGACATGGTGGTCGAAGTTATATCCCATATGGGTACACTTGGGGAATAGAAGAGTGAAGGGTTCATGTAACATTGTTTATAACCAATTTCAAATGGGTAAGAAACTAAGGCTTCGTTTGTTTTGACGTAAAAATATTTTTATCAAAAATATTTTACTCATTTTCTATTGTTTGGTTGAACAAAAAGCAAGTAAAACATTTTTTAAGGAAAATATTTTTACATCATTTTTTCAAAAATGACCTACCTTTAAAAATTTCATAAGTCAATTTTTACACAGTTGACTCTCACTCACTACCTTTTCAACACATTAGCCTTTTCAAATAAATATCTTAACTCACTAAAAAGTCATAAATAACACTTTATTGAATCAAAATTTCTCTTTTTAGGTAATAAAATGTTTTCGTTTCAAGTGTCAACCAAACGTTGGTAAAAAAAAAATTATGTGTAAAATCAATTTTCAAGAAAATATTTTTTAAAAAATATTTTACGTCGAAACAAACGGAGCCTGAAAAGACAAAAATCTTCTAGTGCAAGCTCATTAGTAAATTGTATAGTGTTGCCCACAATAATTACAATCACTCCTACATGGATTTCCCGGTTAACAAATTTTAACCCACTGAAGGATTTACCTGTGTCCTCTATCTAAGTAGAATTTAATGCATAAAAACAAGGGTAAATCACATGAGATTTGGATAAAATACAGCAAGTCCCACAATTTTGGCATAATTACATTGAGTTTCCTTAAGATTTTAATTCACACAACACTTAACCTCATTTTCATTAATATTTTGTTAGTCGTATGCATGAAAGAATGTTGTCATCTTTTTACACTGAAATGTGTATTTTTCCTTGTTTATCTTTGTCTCTTCACACCATCTATATTAGTTTTGGTCCATTTAGTCTTAATAAAAGGGAGACCAGTGTAACTATACCAAAACTGTGGGGCTTCTTGTATTTTCTCCAACTCTCAAGGGAGGTCAGTGTAATTTACCCTAAAAATGACAACGAATTTTTTCTTTCCAAATTCTAAACCCAATGGAGGAGTGGGTCTCTCCCCTCAATCTAAGCAAGACTAACAGTAGCAACCCACTGAAATTTAACAACAGAAACAGACAAAACTCATGGATTTTAGGAGCAGCATTAAGAAACTTTACCTGGATTTCTTTTTCCTCTGCTGCAAAATTTGCCTCGTGTTTTCTACGTTGAAGATGAGACTGAAAGTTTTTCTCGCACATGGTTGTCACCTGACATGCAGCACCGGTCCACTCTCTCCGAACGTTCTCCGGAGCAGGTATCTCCGTGACTTTGTTCTCTACACCACCAGCTGCCGCTGCAGGTACCTCCACGACTTTGTTCTCTCTTATGTCTTGTGTCACAGTCTTTTCTATGATTTCGCTAACTGCAACTGTTTTCTTTTCAGTTTGAATAAGATTTGCCTCTACACAGGTAACCTGCAATATGTAATTAGCAGAGGTCGATTACCAAGTATTCCTGCTATTTGTTGA